CTTTTTTTTGTTTTGGAATATGACGATGCATTGAGAAGGAACTCCTCCTTAATTTTAAGGAGCCAAACCTTGCTCCGCAATTAAGTTCTTCCCAGTTAAGGGAGAAAAAGGTGAGGAAAAAGACCGTAATTGGGTCTTAGGAATGAAGAATAATACAGGCACCATCCAACTATTTTTTCCTTGATGGATGGAGAGGTGACATTGTGTAAAAAAAGTAGTACAATTAAGCCCACCTTTTGAAACGGCAGTGCAATGCATGATCTCAATTATTTTAACTAGTATTCTACGGATCGAGATGACATTGTTTACGGTCCATATTCATGCCAAATTATGTCAAAATCACATGATTTCTTACCGAACCCCTGTGTACTGTAAATAGTCAAACTAAACAAATCTGGCGCCTAAATTAGCGCAGCCAGCGGCGAACCCACCAAAAATTTAAAATTATATCTATCTATTTATTTTGTAACATTTTTTCTGCAATATATAATGAGTGCTATTTTGACTAATTGAAACGCATTACATTGTTGACTACATCTTTTATACAAGTGGGTTCCACATATATTAGTGGGGTCTACCTTTATTAAAAATGTGATTAGCAAAATAGTCAGTAAATGTGATCCAAATAGCATTATTGATATATAATTTAACGCTGAATTGCGATAATGTGTAATGAGTTGACTCACACACAAACGTGTTAAGTGGGTAAATGAGTGGCTGCTTTGAGTATTGATGGGTTCAATTAAGAGTTGCAAGCCACAGCGAGGGAGGGAGGGGGCCTTCGCACAATGAGACAAAGCTAGCCTAGGCATGGACTGAGCCTTGCATTTGTCTCAAGTTCAGCCCACATGTCTTTAACGGGCCTTATGACTAAATACCAATGTGTTAGGGCTAAATGCTAATGTTTGCTTGAGAAGTGATCTAAAAAGAAAAACCTTAAAACATCTTCCTTAAATAAAAGCTAGCTAACCCATGATCAGACGCAGGTAATTAAGTTACCGATCTGTCAAGAATATGCATGGATTCATTCATATCTCATTCATTAGTTTAGCTCTTCCCTCCCTCCCTGTATATATATTCCGCCACTGTCCAAAATATCGAGTGTTGTATACTCAAAAATATTCGGGTCCGCTGTAAGCCACCCTAGCACAAGATGCTCCGATTCTAAGAATTCCCCACGTTGTCTGTTGGATCGGAGACATCCATTTTAATTTGCATCAAAAATTCGATAAACAATAATAAGCTAGCTGAACAATACGCTTCATGGTGTCATGACATGTATATTAGCGTTGGTGTGTGTGACAATGGATAGCTGATGATCATGTCATGTGTGATTATTCGTAAAGGATCTATAGATTGAATTTTACATAACTGTGTCTGTCAGTAGTACTACTGCACCACCACCACCATTGGCACCATATATATACCTACATATATACGACCATCACATTAATTGTTGAGTACAATTTGTATAACAAATTAAGAGAGTCACATTTAAGTTAACCATTATTAATGAAACAAACTGTCGGTCCAAAATATCTTAAGTGGCATAATTATTTTATATATATGGGGTTCAATATTACTTTTTGATTCATTCATTCATCAACTTCTTAATTAATTTTCATCATCATCATCACTAGCTAATCAATTAATTAAGGGGAGATGGCGCCCAACATTGCTGTCACCTTGGTGTTGTTGATAGGATTGTTTGAACGGTGCTCATCAGCTACCGCAGCGTACAATGTCGTGAGCTTTGGTGCAAGAGGGGATGGGAAGACAGACTCAACCAAAGCATTTCTTCGGGCATGGTCGGCGGCATGCTCCACGTCGGTCAGAGGGGCAGCCACCGTATACGTTCCTCGAGGCAGTTTCTTAATAAAACCGGTGGTGTTTAGCGGGCCATGCAGAAGCAGCAGAGTTACGTTTCAGATGGATGATACCGGGACCAGTCTCGTAGCCCCATCCAATTATTGGGAACTTGGAAACTCAGGAACTTGGATTTTGTTCATTAAGGTCACCGGCCTTTCTGTCTACGGTGGAACAGTGGATGCGAGGGGACATGCGTATTGGCAATGCAGGAGATACGGAAAGAGTTGCACGGCAGGAGCAAGGGTACGTATATATATATATATATATATATATATAGTACATGGACACACACATATTATATATACATTATACCTAGTTCAGCCAAACATATATAACATATATATATTTATATATGCAGTCAGTATCGTTGTTTTGGTGTAATAATGTGGTGGTGAGCGGCTTAAGATCCATGAACAGCCAGACGATGCATATGGCGATTGACAATTGCAAGAATGTTGTGGTTAAAAACGTAAAAATAAGAGCCCCGAGCTCAAGTCCTAACACGGATGGCATCCACATAGAAGCTTCCACGGGGGTTACTATCAGTGGCAGCACCATTATGACTGGCGATGACTGCATTTCAATCGGCTCCGGCTCCAAGAATTTGTGGCTTGAACGCATTGCCTGTGGCCCTGGGCATGGAATAAGGTACGTAAAAGAGAGTTACCCACCCTTTTCTTCTTTCTTGGACAGATTTTTCATATATAGTATATGTTGAGACTGGAGAGAGAAGAAGAAAATAATTTAATGTTTCCCTTAAATTTGACAGCATTGGCAGCCTTGGGGATAATGCGAATGAAGATGGTGTCCAAAATGTGACGGTAACAAGTTGTGTATTTACTAAAACCCAAAACGGGGTACGCATCAAAACATGGGCCAGAGCTAGCAATGGTTATGCAACAAACATCGTTTTTCGCAATCTCATCATGAAAAATGTCAATAACCCCATCATCATTGATCAAAAATACTGCCCTGGTAATCAAGGTTGTCCTCGTCAGGTAATTAACTAATAACTAATTTTTTGCTACATTCGACTTCAATTCTTCTTCTTTTTTTCCTTAATTATTCCTGCACCAAGCATCTGATTGATTAATTGATTGATTGATTGATTCCTTTCTTTCTTAATTACTTTTATAATGAAACAGAGCTCTGGTGTGAAGATTAGTAGAGTGACATACACGAACATAAGGGGAACATCTGCCTCAAAAGTAGCCATGAATTTCTATTGCAGCTCTAGTAATCCCTGCTGGGGACTGAAGCTGCAAGACATAAGGCTTACTTACTTGAACAAGGCAGCCACATCCTATTGTGCCAACGCAGGTGGAAGCAGTAGCGGAGTGGTCATACCAAGAAGTTGTTTCTGAATTGTGTACATGTATGAACGACAATTCATTTATGTCGTCATCATCACCACCTCTTGTCGTGATTAATTACCTATGATCTTAATGTTTATCTATTGTTTTTCTTTTTTCTTCTTTAGAAAAGATTGTATTACAACCAATCTTGCAACTTTGTATAGTACGTATATTTCAATTTCCTTAATTCAATACTTTGAATAATTCCACAACTTCCAATTGGTTAGATATAAATTAAGGAATACGAAAAAATGTAGCTTTTGTTTTTCTAAGATTTGTCAGAATGATATACAAGCAAGCAACTTGGTTATTAATGAAACATGCGTGAAGTTGATGATCATAATTGAGTAGTGGATAAAATGAATAAAATAGTCGCTCTTTTTTTTATTGGCTCCCCCTCGAAGTTGAAAGTATTTATATATTAATATCGTTGGGAACCCTTTCACATGGTTGCAAGCTTCTTTATACATACGTAAGATTGAACTAGTAAGTACGATTTGAAGAGTAAGTTTTGTTGAAGAATATAAGTATCACATAGGAAACTTGATTAAATAAAATAAAATATATAATGAATAGTTTCACTACTAATATCATCCACCTTTTATGATAAAATCTCACACCTACTGAGTTTTGTATGTGGTTAAGTTGAGGATAATATCGGTGTTGTTAATAGTGGCCGTAGACCCGTCTCTCTGAAATTTAACAAGTTTGCCTCTCTCTCTCTCTAGACTTTCAGGATTACAAGCGATTTTGAATAAATAATAGTAAAAATGATGTATTATGTTCTGATAATTGCTAGCTACGTACTAGTAGTACGTAAGTGAGTACGGCATATGGCCCATGTTATCTTTTTGGGTCAAACAAATGGAACCTTTATTAAAGACGAATACAAACGATTACATCTTAAGCTAAAAAGATTAAATAGCCAACTTGATGCCAGGCCACCACTTCTATAATTAAGAGACTTGAGCCCTTATAATTAAGGGGAGGGGAAAACTTGCTTAATTAATTATTAACTTGAACTTGATGGTCCAAACCAAAGGTCATGATGAATCACTCAATGATTACAACTTAGAAGAAGAAGCAGAAGCAGAAGCAGTATACACAAGCAAGTGGATGGATCATGCAAAGCAATATTGCAATTTGCAAGGTCGTCTTGTTAATTTCTTGTGTTGTAGTACGTACTTGACCACTGTTTATGGCTCTCTTTGTTCGGCGACTTCTCCGCCTGCTATTGCTCCGGGTTTCCTCCGCGTGTCACATGACACCCCAAATGCAATTCATGTTACCTGTGCTGTCTATATATCTATCTCATTCCTTACGCAAGCGCCTTGCCAAAACCCTAATTAACTACCAAATCCAACCAACACAACATATAATATATATCATCGCCGTCTTTCGCTCTCTCTCTCCCCTTCTCTACTGCCTGTCTATACGTATAATATATGATGATCATGTATAAGTTATCACATGCATACATGTCTGATGTCTCCGTACTTATCACAATCACATGTACCTGCTATAGCTTTATAGCCGCAACCCAAAGCTAACGTTCGTTCAACGACGTGCAAATACAATATACTTTTTGACTTTTGTTAATTTCAGCATAATCAATACAGCTGCACCGCAGCCTTGTTACCACCACTTACAGAATCTAGCTAGCGTGTCATGTATTATGTATAGCTAGCTAGGTAGTCACACTAGCTATAAATACCTCCAAACTATTGCCTGCTTTTGCAGCATCCCAAGTATACGTATTTTTATCTCAACATAAAAATGGCTTATAGAAGCATCTGCAACTGCAACAATTATTGTTTAGCAGTAGTTGTGTTATTTGTGGGCGTACTATTATCCAATGCAGCAGCAGCAGCTAGCAATAGTTTTAATGTGATGAAGTTTGGTGCAAAACCAGATGGGAAAACAGACTCCACCCAAGCATTCGTGAAGACATGGGCATCAGCGTGCAGCTCTGCCTCTGGTCAAGCCAATGCTGTCATGTATGTCCCCAAAGGAAGGTTCTTGATTAAGGCTGTGGTGTTCAGAGGTCCTTGCAAGACTAGAAGAGTTACAGTTCGGATAGATGGAACCCTCGTGGCCCCCACAGACTATTGGGCTTTGGGCAACTCAGGCTACTGGATTTTATTCATTAAGGTCACCGGAGTTACAGTGGTTGGTGGTTCTCTCGATGCCAAGGGTGCTGCATTTTGGGCTTGCAGGAGATCTGGGAAGTCTTGCCCTGTTGGAGCTAGGGTCGGTACTTTCATTTACTTATCTTAAATTAACTTAAATTTATAGACTAATTATATATTAACTATCTATGTACTTGTGTGCATGCAGTCGATAACGTTCAATTGGGCAAACAACATTGTGATCAGTGGTTTAACATCCATCAACAGTCAGCAAACTCACCTTGTAATCAACAGCTGCAACAACGTGCTTGTTCGAAACGTGAAGCTGATTGCTCCGAGTGAAAGCCCCAACACAGACGGCATTCATGTGCAGAGCTCAGCTGGTGTAACCATCACCGGCAGCATCTTGCAAACTGGAGACGATTGCATATCAATTGGTCCTGGCACCACAAACCTCCATATCAGTAACATCAAGTGCGGCCCAGGCCATGGCGTAAGGTAATCCCCATATACAATATCAATTGGATCATAGGTTTTTTTTTTTTTCCTTTTTCTTTAATTTATTTACAAATTGGGCTTTTGGCTTAGGCCTTTCAACCGTCTATACATTTAATATTGCCATGGAGTGGAGTGGATCATATGTATTATGCAATTAACTTACGGGCTTAATTAAACATTCAAAATTAGCCTAAGAAATTAATTTACAATGGCTTGTAGATTGCAATAGTGATTTCATTGATGTGGTGATTGTTTGCAGCATTGGAAGTCTAGGCAAGGAGCTGAAGGAAGATGGTGTACAAAATGTGACGCTAACAAATGCAGTTTTCAGTGGATCAGACAATGGAGTACGAATAAAGTCATGGGCTAGGCCCAGCACTGGCTTCGTAAGGAACATTCTCTTCCAAAACATCATCATGAGGAACGTTGAAAACCCCATCATCATTGATCAGAACTATTGCCCAAATAACCAAGCCTGTCCTAATCAGGTATTAATGATTGTGATTCCCCTTGTGTACATATTTAAGGGTTTAATCCCTTCATTAATTCCTCCTCATTCATCTGATTCTGATCTGATGTGGTTTGTCCGTTGGATACAGGGTTCGGGTGTGAAGATTAGTCAAGTGACGTACAGAAATATACAGGGGACGTCGGCAACAGCAGAGGCAGTAACATTTGATTGCAGCCCTAGTCATCCATGTACAGGGATTAGATTGCAAAACATTAAGCTTACATATATGAACAGGGATGCCACGTCATCATGTAAGAACATTGACGGAACCAGCAGTGGACTACTGGTGCCTGAAAGTTGTCTATAATAAATCTATATATGTAGCTTTTGACGTACGTACGTGTATCTATGTGATCGGAATTACCAGTGGATGGCGATGGCCCAATGGCACCACCAGGCCACATGGATGGATGGATGGATGGCTTACATGGATTTATATAATGTATGTCACACATGTGTAATTTGAGTGTGGTATGTATGTGACGTGTGACATGTGACACACACAAATTGACTTGATTGAAACCAAGAAATTGGATCACTGATTCTATATTCTCATATATCTCAGTCAAAAAAGGAAGCAGGTAGATAGCTAGCTAGCTATCGATTCCTATCCAGGAGGAGGGAGGAGAGAGGAGAGAGGAAAGGGAGGAGAGCAGCAGATATCCAATTCCAACTCAATCTCATGCAGCGTGCGTGAGTTAGGTATATGTCAACTTTAGTTAATAGATAATGACATACGTAGAATAATTGAAAACAAATATTATATTACGCAATTGGGCTGATGATATAAGCAGTAAACGTAGAAGAATCTGTGTATTATTCTCATTGTGTTGATGATGTCATAGTACGCAATTGGGCTGCCCTGCTCTGCTCCTAACTTTGATATGTATAGGCATACAATTGTTTTATTTTACCTATAGAGTGGTGATTTCCCCACTCTTTTTTTTTTCATTTTATCCACTTACACTTCTTTTTTATAACTAAAAAAGGAGTGTAAGTGGATAAAATAGGAGTGGGGAAATCATTGCCCTACCTATATAGTATGCAATTGGGAAACGTCATTGACCATTTCAACGCTATGGAGAGTATAGAGTATAGTATACGAAATGATACATGTACATATATACGTTCCCTTCCCCTATCAATCAATTTTATCAAGTGGGGGGGTGTGTGTGTGTGAAGGTGTGCAATGATTTGACCAATTAGTGTTTTGTTTTGGAAAATTTTGACCAATCAACTTTGAATATAGATGAACAAAGCGCAATCTAACACAAACTCTTTTTTTTTTTTTTTTGGTTTGAACCACGAGGTGGTCCTGGATGGGCCCCAACTATGGGTGGCACCTTTAAGCCTTAACCACAACCCAGACTAATCCCCGCTCACACCGGGTCGGCCCGTAAGGGGTAAAGTGCTGGCCAAAGTGGTGACTCCATACGAGAGCAGGGATCGAACCCCTGACCTTCTCTTAAGGAATGAGAGTGCCGAACCACTCACACCAATCACCTTGGTTAACACAAACTCTTTTTTAAGTTAAGTTAGGAGGGCATGCATCATATGCATCATAAAAAGAGGGAGATGTGCAGTGCATCCATCATCCATGTGATGTGAAAGTGACATGCTATACCATATTTCGATCTTGGATTCTTTCCTTTTTTGTATTATTTTACGCTGTCTTCATCATCATCAACGTAATAAACTACTGCCAAGTAGAGATAATTCATTTCACCTCTCTCTCTCTCTCTCGCTCTCTCTCTCTCTCTCTTGTTGTAAGTTGTAAGTTGTAAGTTGTAAGTTGTAACTAATAAATTTGAGTCCGCCGATTTTCCAATGAATTATTACCAAAACAAGATGAAGAAAAAAAAAGCATGATGAAATGATTATGTTTATTATAAATGGAGAAAAAGCAAAAAGAGATTTCAATAAAAAATAAAAACAGCGTTTTTCTGTGAGGCAGATAAAACTCTAAAGTAAAGTAAATAAAAATAAAAATATCGTGTGTCTTGTCTTGCTTGTTACATGGAAGGATGGTTTTCTTTTGTCGATAAGTAGAGTAGAAACATGACATGGATGGATGGGTGGTTTTCTATTCTTCTTGCTGTCTCATCTCATGTAAATTGATACCCTTTCGAGTTGAGTTGAGTTGAGTTGAGTTGGGTTGAGTTGGGGTTTGTTCTGCTACTGAATACTGATACGGTGATTGGATACCCTTTCAAGTTTCCAAGTTTCAGCTTCTGATCTAATATTCGCTCAGCCGTGTATGGTATTCCTAGATTCATTCTAGATTTTCAGATTCAGAGAAAGCTTCATTTTGGCCTTCTTCCCTTCCGCAGTAAAATATCACAATCAAGGTACCGGATATTGATATTTTGTTTCTTCACCTATTGGCTTGCGTTTTGGTTTCTGGCTTCTGTTGCTGTGCTCACTAAACAGCCGCTTTTGATATTTCAAATGGGTCAATTTCGGTTTGGATTAGAAACAGATTTTGAGTCAGAAAATTGGAATTCGAAATAACTAGTGAATAAGTCTGAGAGCTCGTTTCTTGCACAAGTTGTGTGAGTGAGTGGTCTTTCTTTATCAACTGAGAATTGGGATTCTTACTGTCTCTGTAGGGAAGTAAACTTTGTTGAAATGTTTATCTAATCGTGGAAAAGTAGAATTTAAACTTGGATTTAATCAGGATTCCAAGTGCTAGGAACTAGGATTTTGTTTGAAATCATCAGCCAAGTTGATCATATGGAGAGACAGAGCAGTTTCCAGGCAGCAAAGATGGAAAAACAACCAAGTTTCAATGGGGCAATCGAGCAACAGCCTAGTTTCCGTGGAGCAATGGAGAAACAGAAGAGTTTTCGCGGATTCATGGAGAAGCAGAAGAGTTTTCGGATAGTTATGGAGAAACAGCTGAGCTTTATTGGTGGAGAAAGGAGGAAGAGCAAGGAGTCACCCGGTAAAAGAGGTGACTCCCAACTCCATTTGGCTGCTCGAGCAGGGAATTTAGTCCGAGTCATAGAAATTCTTCAGAATTGTAATAATAGCAATGAGTCAATTGGTTTATTGTCTAAGACAAACCAGGAGGGAGAGACTCCGCTCTATGCCTCGGCGGATAATGGGCATGCTGTGATTGTTGGGGAAATGCTGAAGCATATGGACCTTCAAACTGCATCCATCACAGCCAGAAATGGCTATGATCCATTCCACATTGCTGTAAGACAGGGCCATCTTGGTAAGATACTAGTATGAAATTGAATATGTATGCTTCTGCAATTACGATTCGCATTATGTATTCTGGAACTTGGTAGTTGGTAGCACTTCTTCCCGTGTTGAAAATGATGGAACGAAAATCACTTTCCCTTTTCCTCGGATGACAAATTTTAGGGAAGGAGTAGCACATACTGATTTAATGATCTGGTTACAATTCTAGGAAATAAGTTGTAGCTGAACACAGCAAAGGCTAGACTATTCTTAGACCAAATAGTACCGTGTGACGTGAATCTTTTTCTTCCCTGATCTTCTTATCAGTTGAAACCACACCACCACCCCTTGAGTTGTAGCTTAAAGTTCCAAAATTCTAGTTGTTTGCATACTTATCCAACATCATTTGGAATTTTTCTTTTGTTGTTCCTTGCAATTAATAAGCAGCGTCTTCATTTTAATTTCTTCTATCATTCTTCAGTTTCACCATTTGATACAGTTGCATTTTAATTTCTTCTTGAAGATGGATTTTGAAATGCTTGTTGACTGTACCTTCCTCAATCTAAACACACGCACACACTCTTATTGACTTCTATCTTCACCTCATTTTTCCTGGTGAGCTATAAGAGCCTAATTATGCTTGAGAAACTATCAAATAATATTTTCTTCATCATATGCATCATTATGATTCAGAATTGTTTCTTTCAGAGGTGTTGAAAGAACTTCTGCACGTGTTCCCCAACTTGGCCATGACCACAGATCTATCCAATTCAACTGCCTTACACACAGCTGCTACTCAGGGTCATATTGATATTGTAAATCTCCTCCTGGAAACTGACTCAAATCTTGCTAAGATAGCCCGCAATAATGGTAAGACTGTCCTTCATTCAGCAGCAAGGATGGGGCACTTGGAAGTAGTCAAATCCCTACTAAATAAGGATCCAAGCGCTGCTTTTAGAACTGATCTGAAAGGCCAAACTGCGCTGCACATGGCTGTGAAAGGGCACAATGTGGAGATTGTGCTGGAGTTGCTGAAACCCGATCCCTCAGTTTTGACTGTGGAAGATAACAAGGGAAACACAGCGTTGCATATTGCCACAAGGAAGGGCCGTATTGAGGTGTTTCCTCCTTTCTTTTCTTTCAGTTTTATTTAAAAATCTAAAGAAATATGCTACATGTTATATCAATGATTCAGGTTTCAATTATTGCAAAGCCAAAGTTCTAAACTAGGTATGTAATCTGGCTGGCTTCCATATTTGCAGGTTTCGTGAGATCATGCGAAGTAATATATCATTAATCAATTGCTAATATTTTAACTCAAACGTATGGTACAACTAAAGTTGTGGCCATAAATTGGAATTTCTTTTCTCCTTCTATTAATGCTATGGCTCCTCTTCGTCATATATGTTATTTTCAGTTGTGGCTTCAATCAAAGTTTGAATATGGATGTCATCCTGGAAAATGTGCTAAGTTTAAGTCTCATCCTCATTCCTCATTAACCTGGTATTTTGTGAGGGAGGGGGCTGGGCAGGAGGAAAGAAGTTAGCTTGATTTACAATGCGTTTGTGGTCCATTCTTAACATCTTGAACTCTTAAGTCTGTCCTACTTATGAACTTGCAAGTCTTTGGCTCTCAAGGATTACCTACTAGAGTATCTATTGCTTAACAAAGTATACTTGATTGCTAAAATTCATTGGTATTTTAGTATTCAGCTTTGAAACCTATTATTCTGTTTTGAGGACTCAATTAAAGGAAGTGAATGCTTCAAAGTTCATAAATCAGCCAATAAGATGACCCCTTTCTTTATTTTCTAAAACTCAGTAAAATGGACATTTTGACTGAGGTTAATTAGGAGTGTTGGCATAAATATAACAAATCTACATTTGTGCCACTTCAGAAAATTTTAGTTCTGCTAGCCAGGTAAAAGATCACAAGGTTTATTGTCTTCCTTTTTCGGATCACAGTTTACTCTGAAGAATGGTTAGGCAAATAGAGAGTTTTCATTATAGCAAAGGCCAACACCTGTAGTTTTTACATTTGAATTCAAGTTCCAATTGAACCATACCAATCTGAAAGTCTGAAAGTCTGAAAGTTAGTTGGAGACGTAAGTTTCGTATCTTTGCCTTCTTGTTTCTAATGACAGAAGTTATGCTCATGTACCATATGTGCAGAATGTACGCTGTCTATTGTCCATTAATAATGACGGCAGTAACATCAATGCAAGTAACAAGGCTGGAGAGACCTCACTCGACATTGCAGAAAAATTTGGGACTCCAGAACTCGTGTCCGTGTTAAAGGAAGCAGGGGCCACCAATTCTAAAGACCAAGGAAAACCTGCAAATCCAGCAAAGCAGCTTAAGCAGACTGTGAGTGACATAAAGCACGATGTCCAGTCCCAACTCAAACAGACCCGTCAAACTGGTGCCAGAGTCCAGAAAATTGCAAAGAAGTTGAAAAAGCTCCACATTAGCGGCCTCAACAATGCTATAAACTCTGCCACTGTTGTTGCTGTGCTGATTGCCACCGTTGCTTTTGCGGCCATCTTCACTGTTCCTGGCCAGTATGTTGAGGAGAAAACTTTGGGGCTTACGCTTGGACAAGCTCATATAGCAAACAATGCTGCTTTCATCATCTTCTTTGTGTTTGACAGCCTGGCGCTCTTCATCTCCCTGGCTGTTGTTGTAGTCCAGACGTCTGTGGTTGTGATTGAGCAGAAGGCAAAAAAGCAGCTTGTTTTTGTGATCAACAAGCTCATGTGGCTAGCTTGCCTCTTCATTTCTATTGCTTTTATTTCTCTTACGTATGTGGTGGTGGGTTCACACTCGAGGTGGCTTGCTGTGTATGCAACAGTTATAGGCAGCACAATCATGCTTACTACCATTGGCTCCATGTGCTATTGTGTCATTTTACATAGGATGGAGGAGTCCAAAATGAGGAATATTCGGAGAGCTGAGAGTAAGTCTCGTTCTTTCTCTATGTCTATGGCATCAGAGCACGAGATTTTGAACAGCGAGTATAAGAGGATGTATGCACTGTAAGTTCAATTTAGGGAGAAATGAAACACAAGGATTGAGATTGGGTGACCTATGCATGAATCGTGCTGTATATAGGACTAGGATCCATATGCTGCTGCTGTTGCTCCTAGCTCCTACTCCACTAATCAGATTCTAATGGTAAGTAGTGATGATGTAGAGGCCGATCTATCTATTTATCTATCTATCTCTTAACCTAGAAATATGGGTAATCTACAACTACTTGTTTTTATACCTTTACATGAGATTTTCCTTGAAAGGATAAGGAATGTCTTGGTTTTTCTGTTCTGTGTGCGGTCTGTGGTTACCGGTTATGATGACGTGACCCTGCTATGCTACGAGCTCAGGTCAGGATGTATGTTTACCATTGACCCTTGAGGCTCTCACAAAATTTATCCACGCTATGAACTGAGGTCAGGATCCATGTTTAACCTTGAGTGAGGGTGTTGCAGGTGCAGAATTTAATCCAAGTTTCTTCAAGGCATATCCAACTACTATTATTCAAGTATTTAATTGCGAGTGAGTTTATAGATGATGTTTATTATGTGCAAGTATTGTAATAGCAGTACTTGATGTTTATAATTATTAATAAAAATCTGCTGCTCTTTTTCACATGCTTTTGTTTGTGTTGGATTCACATGCTTCTTGTTCGTCTCTTTTGTTTCGCACATGCATGGTCGGTTGGAAGTTGGAACGTAGCTTTTTCGTTATGTGACCAACGCAAGGGAGCATGAGTCAAAAGAAACTATTTTGGTGAAGAATAAATTCCATGTATATATAAATCTATATATAACTGTAACAGTTGATGCCCCTGAAACTAATGGCTTCTGTTCAGAGAGAGAGAGAGAGAGAGAGAGAGAGAGAGAGTTTATGACCCACTCATCATAAGAAAAGAAGAAAAAATGGTAAGCATAGTTTTAGTTAGAGAAGCCAAGCAGTTGACGATTGACGACCGCCGCTTTCTTCGTCACAGTTCCTTTTTTACAGCCTCCACCCGCAAAGACAAACTAGTTGTTTGACTTGACTAGAAAGCTTTGATTTGATGTAAAAAAATGAAACAGTGATAATAAGCAATAAAGAGAGGACATGATGCTCAACATATAAAACCAAGAACAAAAGTATAACATAATTGATCAATTCCAATTCTTTTTTCCTTTCTTTTCAAACCAAAAAGAAAAAAAGAAAAAGAAAAAAAAAGACAGCCTAATGCACGAAGCTCCCGTTCTCATAAAGTTGAGGAAGAGGAATAGACTCAAAACGTACACCACCTCCACCCTCTCGTTTCCAAAGGTGCGGCTGGATCACCTCCTTTTCAGGGAGAGTTAATGCTTGTTGGGTATTTTGGACCTCTTGGGGGTAAACGAAAAATATACAACGATCATTCTCAGAGAGAGGATTTGCTTAGAGATCTCTTCCACCTTCCAAGCTTTTCTCTTCCCTGCAAAATATAATGAAAATATCTTTTTAAAACTTAATAAACATCCATTGTATTCTTGATTATGTCCAGCAAAAGGTGTAACTCAACTGGAGTGAAACTATCATGGTTAAGTCCAGAGAAACACAAAGTGCAAAGCAGTAAAAGCTAGCAACTTAGGCTTATCCCCGCAAAGCAAACATAGATGGACAAAGAGCGTATCAACATCAAGCACACATCTACAGTCTTCGCCCATAACCACCATTATAAGGGATGATCAAAATGAGGCCATTGACAATGTAATTGTTGCCTAATGCTAAGTTTGCTTTATAACAATTCAGTTCACTGTTCATGGGTTTTCCCCTTGCAAGTCCATTCATCGCGTTCTTTTCCACCTAATTCTCGTCTTTTTAAATTGTAGAGAACCTTTACCCAATAATTGGTGAATTTCCCCCTAAAATAAGATCCCTCTGAGTACTTATGTGCGTTTTAGGAATTAAAATTTAATTGGGTTCATGTTCACCCTGAGCTCTATCCTAAAATTTCCTTGACGTTGAACAATAGCAAAAAGATGAGATTGAACATTTTCTGGAGGATCATATTGTAGCCTGATCAAATTGGGAGTTATCAACACTATCTTTTGTAATTATTTTTCTTTTGGTACAGATATCTGTAATTATATAATTTATCTTGCAACACAGACTTCTTAACTTTTGCAATCTCATATTCAATTTAACTAGAGCAACCTTTGATACATACCTTGCGAGGTGGGACAGCTAGTTCATTGTCTACGATAGAGGTTGCCTTAAAACCCATGGGATGCAACACCTCTTCATAACTGCACAAAAATGAATCAAGAATAATGAGTATAGAGACTATAAATAAAAATAGTATCATTTGTACATCAAAAGTTCACTACTCGTAACAACACAAGTTTAGAACTAAGTCTAAAAGAATAGCAAAACAGGATATGGAGTAGGAACTTACTCTGAAACTGACACTTTGTAAGGGGGTCCACCAATATGATCACTGATCTGCCAGAAAATAAAATTAGTTTTCAATAGAACTATCAGAAACTATGTAAAAAAGTTAAATGTTGAAATTCAAAACATTTTAACAAACAAAATTTCAATAAAAGTGGAAAAAAATTTAATGTGTGAAGGGAAATGGGCGATCACCCTAAAAACAGGGTGTCCTTTAAATATCAGATGGAAGTGTTCATGTTCATTGCAAGAAGGGAATATTAACGAAGAACAGAGAATAGAAACACACACACACACACACACACACGGAAAGAGAGAGAAACGAATACAGGAAACATTAGTGTTATGAGCTCCCCATCTGGTTTTAAAATATCCCGAATCTTTCGTGCCCACACTGATCTCATCTCTGGTTCAACAGCACAGAAGAACCTGTTCCATTAGACGTGATCAATCAAGGCAAGAGATCTTTCTCATGGGAAATAATTACGCGACGTTTTAAGTCAACTTACGTATAATCAAAAATGAGATCAAACAATTCAGTTGGATGCCAAGTGAAAAAGTCCACCTTTAAGAAGCTATAATAGCGTGCTTCGGGAATTGAGGAAAACAACTGCCATGACATTTCAAACAGAAAATGAAAGTAAATTCTATACTCTTGTATTGAGGCACTTTGATTTTGCCAGTGTAGTCAAGTCTTACCTCGGCTGCTTTCTTAATGGCATTCTCTGAAATGTCCAATCCAGTGACATGGCGTTCAGGGGATGCAATTGCCACAACATCATAACCCTGCCATATCCAAACCTCAACGAGCATATATTAATTTATTAAAAGCTTGAATGCTAGACTAGTACTGAGAGAGAAGAATCAAGATACATACAGTGCCACAACCAGGGACAAGAGCCCTGCCCTTGGGAAGAGCACCCTGACGATGAAGATGCGCAATCACAGGCGTTGGCTGTCCTAAATCCCAAGGGGTCAAACCTTGCTCCCAGCACTTGTCCCAACCAGAACCACCACCACCACCTTATTATGAGTTAGGATGCCAAAATCCATCAACAACAACAAGAAAATTCATTTCATCTAATCATTCAAACCAAGTTTCATTTTTTTTTCAGAGAAAGAAAAAAAGAAAGACAGATATAAATGGAACGGGTAGCTACCTGTAGACAGGAGTTGTTGAAGCTTATCCACGGCAGGAGGGTTGTGGTGAGATCGTATGGAAATGTTCTGTGCATCGATAACCTTGGGGGGGCGGGGGTCTTCTTTCCTCATCATCCTGGATCGGTTGGCACGAACAAGGAGGGTTTTCGAGGGAAAGGAAGGCACAAGATTGAGATTCCAAACGCATGATGAGAGGAAATGGTATCCTCTTCTTCTACTGGCACTGGTACTGGTAGTGATGATGATAAGGCTTCCTTGGTAAGCCAGTTCGGACTGGATTGAGTTGAGAGTTGGAATGAGAAAACAAAACACGATTGTAAATTTGTGATTGTGGCCTGGTGCTGGACCGTGAAATAATAAATGATTGTAATCCTTTTTCGTTTTGGGAGTCGGGAGGATATATATCATATATGTATTTCGAGTGTTTCCAAAATAATTGCAAATATTTGAACATGGTGATGATTTGATTACATTCAAGAACAACAGATAAGACAACTTGCTCCGTGAATTCCACGAATCAAGCTGTGTTCACTTCACTTCACAGTCCGCTTTCGTATCCCATTAACTCTGTCTACTGCATGCAAGCTAAGAACAAAACAAACATCTCTATGATAACTCAGTCTTCCTTTTTTTCTTTTTCTTTTTTTCCCTTTCGGCTTCAAATTCCATATTTCAAAAATGGCATGTATGTATTTCTAATACATTTTGTGGTGAGCTCATGAAATTTAATTCAATGCACCAACATTTATTTCCAAGATTTCCTTCCCCTTAAAAATTTACCAACAAAATACACCTCTTTCCAATTACAGAATGCGAGCAAATTGATCTCCCTCACTATTTCACTCTACAAAGTCATGTGGTCTGGTAGGTTCCATCTAATTTTTTACAAACAAAAATATAAGTGCTCTCTCCCTCTCTCTCTCTCAAAATGTATGGACAGCATGAACAATGGTTCAATCTAGATAAAAGAGAGTCACGATTTTCCGGAGATTTTTGGCCTCTTGACAAGTTTCCATGAGCAATTTACTATCATGAAACGCAAAGCATATAACTTGTTGTACATGTGAAATGATGTCCATATTGCACAACCTGCAGTTTCAACATGGAAGACATGAAATTTGCAGTATTGCCTGCTATAACATGAAAGCTACACTACCAATCACGACTAACTATTTCATTTTCAGATTCTAGTAGACCTTGGTTTAAAGGAATTTACACAAGCAATTCAAGTAGACGTTTGGCACAATTTGATGAGTTGCTTGATCAAACCTAGAAAACTCAAAGGGACTCAACTGTCTCGATAGAGACTGGGCAAAAAATTCAAGCTCATCTACAAGCTTGATCATAGTAAATAGAGCAATGGCCGGTAACAGTTGGATTGGGTTCTTACAAGAAAATACACCCTTTTGGCCTCAGTCTTATCAGGTGCTGCAGAAGCAACCATGGCTTTGGCCCTTAGAAGGGGAGATGCTTAATATCAAATGCTTTGCATATATTAATATCTTGAATTTCAGCAGGCATCATAAATAGGTAATGATTAGCGCTATATAGTACTGGAAGAAAACATGGTAGGTGAAATTATAATAATTAAATAAATATAAGTAAGTGGAGCAACTATCAACCTGCTGGCTTCTAACAGAGGTAGATGATCATTGTAAGGCTTCTCTATCACATTCTTGACCTGAAAACCCCAAAAAATTATCAATTCCCACAACAATATTGCTTTTCCTTTTTCAGGTGGTGGGAACAAGTGTATCATTACCACAGTCCATGGAAATATTAACTAGAAACATACTTCAGCACCTGAATCCACTAAATTCAGTTCCAGCTTATATGCACCAATCAAATTCGTAAATAACTATAGCCCCCAATTCAAATTCATTTTCTGAGGAATTCAACTGTAGACCTACTCTTGTAATGCTCTCTCTCTCTCTCTATATATATATATATGTGTGTGTGTGTGTGTGTGTGTGTGTGTGTGTGTGTAGAGTAATAAATTGTAGGAACTGTATTCTAACATAACAAAACGATTGAAGCTAGATTCATGAGTGTTCCCTAACAAGGAATTGATTGCAAAACGACCTTACCCAACCAAATATGAATGGATGAGTATTTTGAGAGTGTAGGCAGATGAATAAAAATTTCTATTAAAAATTCCTTAAGAATAAAAAAATGAAAAACAAAGATCAAATGCATCAAAAGAGACATGGATCTTGTATAAATAGTTTTTCTTTGATAGATGAAATTTTACCAAGAGGAATGCACAGGGCAAGAATGATGTGCATGAGAACTACAAAAGACGCTTCTGTAGTGGTTAAAGAAATTATTTTAGAAAAATAGCATTAAGAAAAGCCAAAAAGGCAAAAAGAAGAACGAAACTCAACTGAGAGTCAAAACTAGGAGACAAAAAGCAATTAATAACTACAATTATGTAAATACTATGAGAAAATTTTAGTAAATACCAAAATTTTGCAATAGATGAAAGCAAAATATTTAAGGAATGTCACTTTAAGAAATTCTTACTTTAGACAATAATTCCTGGCTCTCAGGAGGTTGCTTCTTCAAGCTTTGCGGCAAGATTACTGTAAGTAATTCTGGTTTCTCTGCTCTGAGAGCACCCCTGATAACAGCTGCATTAGTGCCAGATGCCCCTGATGTATATATGTGATTTTTCTGCAAACAGGAGTTGAGGAACATACAAGTCAAGGGCACTGATCCGTTCAGATTCAACATAAACTGAAAAGACCCAGCATTGTTGAACATCTGATAGCTAAGTACTCATAATGCCAGAGAAAATATAATGTACAGCTCTTACAGTGATAACCATCGCATAGCTAAGAATCTCGATAAGTTCTTGATGCATGAATCCCATATTACGGGTCCCAAAGAAGCCAATTGCTCGGGGCCCTTGTTGCTGAATGGCTAATAATTCCTGCAGATAATATTACAGAAATAAAATTCTAAATATCTGAAGTAGCACAAAGTAGGAAGATTGATTGTGCTTTCAAGCTGCAAGTAAAATTACAAATGAGAGACAAGACAAACAACACAAGGCATGCAACATCTGTAAGAGATGGGCCACTCAGAAGTTGCTGCCAAACATCTGTGACTGTTGGACTTAGAAAGAAAATTTATTTGAAAAAGATTATCAGAGATACCTAACCCCAAGTTTTAACTGTACATTTATCTCAAAATAATATCCTTAGGTCCCAAACTTTTGGTTTGAAAGGAGACAATGCGTACTATGATTCTTACAAAGCTTGGGGTGAACAGGTGAGGGACAGCTATATTGAAATTAGAAAAGGAAAATGACTCGATCATGATTTAAAACAAAATATCTAATCACCCTAATTTTGACTGTGCATTCGTCTTAAATGATATCCTTTAGGTCCCAAACTTTTGGTTTGCAAGGAGGCATTACATACTATTGTTCTTAATTCTTATAAAACTCTGGGTAATAATCAGACACAGAAAACTGATAGTATTTATTATTTGAGCAAATCAGTGTCTTTTGTGTTTTAAAAGTACACGACTCAAGTGAGTATTAATACTGCAAAAGGATATTGAGGATAAGGCGAAGTACCCTGACTCAAGTTAGGGGTTTCTCAAGTTGAATTTTTGTTTATTCAACTTTTAGATTATTTCAAACAGTCATTTTTTTGTTGAATTAGTTGAGTAACAATTTTACAATATGCGTTGAGATCATCCCTATACTTGTCTACTTGTCAGTTTAATTTGGGTTCAATTAATGTTTGCTTAGGTTAATAAAAAATTGACAAGGCTAAGACAAGGGTAAAAAGGAAAGTCACACAAAAGAACCAACCCCAACCCCAAACATCCACCAAAGGAGTGAAAAGAAAGCCAAATTGATTAATAAACACACCTGTAGATAATCAACATCGGCCACAGGTCTAAACTCTGATACCAGAACTGCTCCTGATCCTTCAACAACTGATTGAGCTTGGGTTGGGATTTGGGTGCCTACTTCTTCATCAGAACCGAACATACTCGCACCCTTATTGTCTTCATTTGATGGACTATCTCTGTCTTGATCTCTTCTCATATGTCCGCAGAGCCACTATACCAGTACAGAAAAAACAGATCCCCTGGTAGTAAATCATTAGTGAAAACCAACTGCCCACAAAGAGTGGTGATCATACAAGTTCAAGCTCGCATGACTTCTAATACGTGTATAAAAGAAACAATAATAATAATAATAATAACTGTTCTCTGTAGCATTTCCATGGAGAAAGATATGTTTTTTTGCCTAAAAAGTTTACAGAGAGCTTGATGTTGGTTGATCAGTCCCAGTAAGTGATACTAAATCGGGATACAAGCAATATCAACTAAACTCTTTAAAGCCGAATATAATGACTACTTGCATTGGCTACATGTTTGATCCCCAAAGTTTTAGGTGGGGATGAAATCATAAAAATACTACACATGCAGATGCACTAAAACTTCAAAGCACTTACCTTTTGTACTCCTGTAAACCCAAGAAGCATACATATGAACAACCGATGGACAAATTCACGAACCTTATGCTAACATTTTCCATGTTAATTCATAAACCATACAGTAACGAAACTAAACTACAACTGCGATCATGGAAGATACACGGCTGAGTCTTACAATAAATTAAACGGGTTTAGGACAAATAAAAATTGAAAATCTAGATTAAACCCATTTGTTTTAAACCTGTACCTCAACGTACACTAAGAGCAAATCGCATTGCAGCCTCTCAGATAACAAAGAAACCCATGAAGCGCTTAAACAAACAAGACCCAATTTTCAAGGAAAATTTCAATTACTATATGAAGGAAAAGCGTCCCATTATAGCCAGCTCATTCCAAAAACTAAGGATAAGGATCTCCAAGCCCAAAAAATACTACCTTTTCCATCACAAGAACCTCAATGAACAAGACCCAATTCTTAAAATTAAGAAAAGTTGATGATATAGATACGAACATATAAATATGTAGAGAGATACCTTCCGCTTGGAGCGAATGGGTGTCTTGTTTCCAGCACATGTGTGGTGGTGAGATGAGAGAGAGGAAGAGTATGAAAGTTTGAAATTAGGGCTTGCAGAGTGAAAGGATTTGAGGGACTTGGAGGGAAAGTCTGAAGAAGAAGAATAGGCAGTAATGGTGGTTAGAGGCAAGAAAAGCCTCAAAGGTGCTGTCATTCCTGCCTTTCAAAACTTTGCTCTGGGCAGCTTTTCCTTCCTTCTATCTTTCTGTGCTCCTTTTCTCTTCTCTTTTAATATCCTCCAATTGGAAAAGAAAAAAAATCTAATAAGCGAATTGAATAAGAGCAGATATGATATGTTTTATTTAGAAGTTATAGAAGATAGAATTGTGAAATGGAATAGAATTTTGTCAAAGGGCTTCCTTTACCCTTTACTCTTTCCTCTTTTCGTTTGCTTTTCGGCTTTTTTATTATATATTTTTCTTCATATTTTGACCTCCGCACAGCTCTCAACTGAACTGGTAAAAAAACATCTACTTTACTGCCAACTGTATAATGAATTTTTCCCTTATTTTTTAGTACAAGCTATATAAATGACAGGAGAGTGAGATTTCTCAAATACACGATTATAATGCCTTGAGATTCGAATATAAGGCCTCTGATTTGCAAGTTTGGCCGTTTTTCCTTTTTAATAAATGTATTCTGAAGTTTCTAAAGGGACAATCCTTGCACCAATCCATTGAAGATGAGAATACTTTAACAATCTGGTCCAACGGGCAAAATTCTAACAATCCAAATGTTCATAAAATAAGAGGAAACTCCAATTCCAAATTCCAATGGGTAGAAAGAAAGAAAGAACGAAAGAAACTCGAACGAACATATCTCTACCTTCACGTCCAATTTCCAATACTAGAGTTGGACACTCTGCTTTTTCGCTTCTCAAAACCTAGTGCCCCTCTATATTACAAAGTATAAATTCATATGGTTTACATGAAAATACAACGCCATAAATCATTTTACATTTTTCAGTTTTCATTTTACAATTTACAATACAAATAAATATTATAATTGCAGCTTTCTTCATGTGGTCGTGAAGGGAAGGGGATGATGCATGGCATGCGATGAGTCTCACAAGAATTTCATGAAATTTTAGGATTTCAATTTTCATGAAACATTGGATCGGTCTACTACGCAACGCATACCATTGCCATCAGCATCAGCATCGGCATGAGCTGGTTGTTTGTACAACAGAACAGACAAACAGGGACCACAAGCAAGCAGTTCATGACAAAAAATACAGAGAGCCACTTGCTTTCATCCCTCCCTCCCACGGCTTTTTGTTCTTTAGTATCTGATCCAGTAACAACCACACTTCTCACCTCTCAAATTTTATTCGTACGTAAATCAAATGCAGACTAAATCCAAGGCATATTTTTCTTCTGGGAAAAAATTAGTAGCCACAACCAACTAGCTTAGAGGCAAGGAAGGAGCGGTGGAATTTGTGCAAATCTGGAACAAAAACAAAACAAAAACTGTGTTAATGCTTTTGCCGCATTATTCAGGAGGAGGGAGGACCACATTTTCTTTATTTTTGTTTCATTTCAGAGAAATAACTTCTTTGTGTGGTTTAATAGGTTTCCGTTTGGACTGCTTGCTTGTCACCTGCTAAATATCAAAGTATTTTTTCAACTGGTCAAATACAAAACAATTGATGCCATTATACAGCAATAAGCATTAGAACCCGAGTTGAAAGTGTATAAAAGGATAGCATGATCCCATGATCCCACAACCAACCAGAGACTATATGTCCCATCTCTTTTTAACCCGGAACATCAAAGTTGATGATCGAATGTCATCTTGTGGCACTTGGAGCATGAATTGAACCTTCATCTTCATTGGGGCTGTCCTTGCTTTGCCACCTTCATCTCCAACCTGAAACAGGATCACGATCACTATACTATACTATCATTTCTTCATAAAAAGCTAATTTTTATGAACCTCAATTTTCTTACAAATGTACTTAACAAAGCATTATGTCAATACTAGTGTGGGTGTATGTGAAATACTTGTTTGACCCCACATATACCCTTAGGTTTTCCTTCCAAATTCCCTTTTCAAGAGCACCAATGCCTCCTTTGTGCCAATTCCAAGCCTTCTTTAACAAGAAAGCTTTAAAATACTTTTCTCATATAAGCACTTACCCAAAGAGATGCCCAGCCAAGGCGCACCTCTGAATCATAACCAGCTTTAAGTTTCAAGTCCTTGCCATATGTGTGCTTGTATACTGCACTCCAGTAGTCGGAATCAAAATTGTACCAGTAGCTGGAGATGAAAAAAATCAAAATGAAGTATAAAAACTTTTCCAACAGTCTGGACACAGATGACTGAAACATGATATAGTAATTGGCAAACTCAAAAGTGCTCCTCTCAAGCTCAAGAAAAATTCATGCTAGACCAATAAATTATTGGAGACTATTTATATGAATAAATACTGGAGACAAGATTTACTTTCAGTTTTACAAATGCTTTGCATGAATTGATGATATTAAGCAGACAACACAGTTACTCACACAGTGAAATATGATATAGAGATTGGCCAACTCAACCTGAATGGATTTATAAGCACTTAAAAACCAAGCACCTCATTCTCTTGACCTAACATTTATATACGGTCCTGTTATCCTAAAAACTAGAAAAACATGATTGCCAGGGACATGTTTACATCTGTCAGCAAGCAAGTCAAGTATGAATCCAACAAAAAAGAAAAAAAATTGAATTAGGAAGAAGAAAAGATTTCTAACCTCAACTTGTCTGAAGGACCAAACCGACGCTTAAAAGCAAATGACAATGCATTCGAAGGCAGAGAAAAGGTCGGGATAAAAGACATCTCCTCATCCTGTGAAAAACCCAAACATCTCAGCAAAACTCACAAAGATGAAACACCAACATGATGAAAAATGATGAAAAATGAAGTCATTCAGCTATTAAGAGATGACGAATATTTTCGTAGGGAACATGATCTGGACTACACCTTTACACAACCCAGCCATACATATTTTCTACATTTTTAATTGGGACCCAGTCATCCAGCTTGTTTAATTGAAAAGCATCCAAAAAGAAAAACCAGAGTAATATAATGCTTACCTTGTATGAGTACCTCAACTTCAAATCCTCATCCGCATAATGAGCAGTGCACGACCCATTCAAAATTTGGCCCTTCACAATGCCATTGATCGACAACATTCTCTTCGTCTCCTCTTCTTCTTTTTCCTCCAAAGAAACTTCGCCAAGGGGGAATTTAAGGGTAGCTTTTGGCTGCAGCACCAGAAAGAAATTAACGTAATAAAACTTATCATGTAATATGGTGCAACCAGATCCTCCAATTCTGTTTCCCCCAGTAAAAATTAAACAAGGGGAAAAATAAGGGATACTCTGGCAGCAGAAACAGGAAGATAATAAATTACTAAAAATGGATTCATTTTTTTTATTTTTTTTCTGTTAGGTAATTCGTACATAGTGGCATTACTTGTAAATTGTGAAGCAGTGCGATGACATCAGATAAAAACTACACTAACTCAGCAATCCAAATAATGATTTTTGAAGTATGTTATCGTTGAGTATCAGAATGTAACAATCCACGTTATGAATGCTGAAGCACGCTTTAAAACAGAAACAAGTTTGCAACACCATTGAGTCCTGACAGCAGTAGAACTCCAAGGACATGTCTTATTTGCGTCTGGTTAGAGTTACATGCTAAGATTATACACAAAAACAATATGTAAATGGAATGCCAGATGAAAGTCCACACGTGGGGGTGTCAAAACATGGTATAGTGTGATATATTGTACTTACGAAACCAACAGAAGGTACATGAGAAGAGAGTTCAAATGCATAGCCAGGTTCAGCGACCTTCGCAACCACAGATGCCTCTCCTTGTTGTGCCTAAAAACATTATGACATTCAGAGAGGCAATACAGAAGCACATAAAAAAAATCACCAAAGGTATATATCATCACATGCATCAGGGAAAAAGGGGTCAATCTCATGTCAAGAAGCTTGGGTAAAACATAAACATAGACATAGACACGAAGATATTAATTTCTTTTATTAATAGAAATGAAATGACATTAGTTACACATTGCTCAACAACTCATGGGGCCGGGCCAGGCCAGCAGAAGCAAGCTCCTACTGATAATATAGTGTAAGATTACATTAGAGTACAAATTTGCATGTGAAAGAGAAGAGACTTGAAGAGTTGAGTTAAAGTGGCAAAATTAATAAGAAAGGTAAGAAGAGACAAATGAAAAATAGATAGATAGAGAGATAGGTAACCTTGAGATCATGGGTAGCACGGAGTTGCAATCGAGGACCAACATCGACGGAGCCGCTGAGGAGGGTAGATTGATCTTCAAAGTCGTAGTTAATGGAGAGGTGCTTGGAGACAAGTGCCAAGTGGGGCGGAGAGAGCTCGCCCTTGTGGTTGTTGTGGAAGGAGAGCTTCAGTTTGGCCAGGCTGTCAAACAGCTTGCACGAGACCTTATGGAAGAAAACGGACGAGTCGCTGTCGAACTCGGAAGTGAGTCGAATCGAAGGCCTTTTCGGGAAGCTGAATATGATGGGGCTCCACGAACCTCCTGTGGCTGGTGGAGGCGGAGGAGGAGGAGGAAGATCAACACTTGCAGTTGGTAGGCCCTGGTAATTAGGGTTTGGATTCCCCGGAAGGCTGGGTACCATTATTGGCTCCGCCATTACTAAATTCACTCACTCACTCACTCACTCACTCACTGACTACTTCCTTCTCCCACCTCTGACTCTAAACTCCGAACCTCAAAGAGAGAGAGAGAGAAGCGTGCGCATGTCACCTGTGTTTCTTCTATGATTCTTTTTATTAGGCGGAAATGTAGATGACAGGCCGGTGGCCATTCACCTTCACTCTTTTCAGGTATTTTATTTAAGTTTCTCTTATTTCACTTTGATGCATCATTCCGGTTTCGAACCTGGACCCTTGTCTTTTATTCTTATTATTTTTTCATTGATGCTTTTTACCAACCAAAGATTTGTTTTTTCAATTTAAAATCATAAGCGAGGAGGATGCAAAATTGCAGATCATATATATATAATATATTTTTAAAACTGAATAACATAGTTCTTTCTTGGACTGAGGACATGACACTGTGAGTGTAACAACAAAGCCGACTGATGATCTCACCCTCTTATAATTCAATACATGTAATTTTTCTGGTCGAAGGAGAGAGGAAGAGTGATGAATGTCAACAAAAGTTCAATTTCAATATCCCTTTCACTCACATTTAACCATTGGCGTTTATGGCTTTCACTTTTCTTTTTTTTTCCCCTATATCTTTATAAAGAGGGCAAAAACACATTTGTTCCTAATCATCCTTCTCTCAGTACAAAACACAATCAGAAAATTTAATCGACATATAATGGAAAGTTGACCCTTAAACTACACTGGATTGACAGCCCTTGTAAAACCTTGCCATCAAACACCGCACGAGAAGGCATAATTTCCCATCCCCAACATGTACTTGCAGCCACAGGTACAAAACGAAAAAACCTCTCAAATCCCGTCCTTAATCCTTATGCAATATTAACAGCAACTGGCTTCCCCCGACCCATTGCAAATCCCCTCGTGCCATCCGGCATACGCGGCCCAGGAGGCTGCTTGGCTACTCCTGGCTGCTCAATACTACCAACTGAATTGTGAGGAGGAGGCCCCACATGATTTCCACGATTATTATTATGATGGTATTGACCTCGCCCACGCCCCTTCCCACGGCCTCGATTACGCCCTTTCCTCTGCCCGACCTCCTTGTCATTGCCATGCTCCTCTCCCTGCAAAGAAAAAAATCACAACATGCCTATATCTTCAGGAAGTAATGATTTCAGATGTAAAGCTACAGTCCAATACTACGCATATGCTACCGTTAAGTTTATGGAAAAAGCCTTGACCAAAATTTTTTTTTAAAAAAAACTTTACAGAAAAAGTTTGTCCAATTAGCATCTGTGAAAATTTATCAATGAAAATCTAATTGTCCAAAACAAAAGACATACACATTTAAATGAGTCTCTGAGTGCTTACATGTTCATGTGAATAGGCATCAGACTGCTGGGAAGAATCTACTGATTGTTTTTCATTGGCCTGCTGTTCGGGTGAAGAAGCATCCTCTTCGTCTAATTGCACTTCCCCATCTTGCCCCTTTTTCCCCCGCACTTGAGCAGGTTTTGACTGAGAATGGAACTAACAGAAACATCAATGGACTGGTCCAAATCAACTAAGTTACTATGCTGAAAGATCATTCAGTCAAGCAGCATGGGACCAATCACATACACCACAATCATCTGATTAACTAAAATAACAAGAAAGTAATTTATGTCAACATTTATTCTATAACATTAGCTCATTTGGGAAAGTATACATTTCAATTATACAGTTCAAAATCTTAGTTTCATAAGCCAACTGAATTTCAGGAACTGAATTTAACTATAATTTCATAAGCCCACAGTTCGTGTTAAACTATAATTTCAGGAACTGAATTGAACTACCTAACAAAGAACCATAGTTTTGGGCATATACCGCTCGTCTAAGCATTAAACGGACTTTAAGGCCACTCCTCCAGTTGGCCTCATCATTAAGCTCTGCAACCTGAAGATAGAAATGCACAGTTATCTGTCTTACCAAAGAAAGAAATGGACATTTATTCTGGGTAATGAGCTTGGCGAAAGCCATATTGATGTCAAATCACAGCTAACACTCACAGCTTTCTCTGCCAGCTCAGGGGATTCATATTCCACAAATGCATGCAACTACAGAAAAAGAGTCCAGATATCAGATATTTCTGTCCATCTTTAACTGTATGAGTAATAATGATAACAAATCTATTAACCATAAACATCAGTGAAATTTGCATTAATGTTGATCTATTTCGCCGAGTATGATTTCTTAAAACGTAACATCCTTTTTATTTTGGGGTGAAAGAATGTCGCTACAGCCACTGCAATATTAGTGTTAAGTTACAATATAAAATTGATGCAAGGAAGGTCCTTCATAGGCCAGGCCCAAAGCCAAAATGATTGCATCATCAGACCAATACACTTTGGTTTGGTTAATCTGCAATTTTCCAGATTACTTTAAAAATTGAGGCATAATGTTGTAAAAGCATCTTTCTGTGAGACAACTTCTCAAAAGGTTAGCCCCTCATACTAAATATTGTAACCTAATAAAATTTGAGTCAGAAACCAGTCTTTTGGGAGGCATACCCTATTATCTTTTTATACCTGAAGCAATCTAGAATGAACGATTTTCTTTTTGTTACATTGGAAGGGATCAAACCTTTCACCTATCCTAATATTGACCCATTTCCCACCCTCCATCACCATTTGGGGTTGGAAATAAGCAAACTTTACTTCACAGAAGAAAAATGGTCATAGTTGCTGAAAACAATGAAAGCCAAAGAACAGCACAACCCATAACAAACCATAACCTGCTCCAAGCAAGTGCATGTGTTTTTATGTATACCTTGTTACTGAAAAGCGTGCTATCTGCTTTTGTAGATCTGGATGCCGAGGAAGCACCACTATTGGAGGTTTGCGGCTGGCAGGTACGGATTGTCTTCACACTGTCAAAGAACAACTCAACGTTATATAGACTTCTAGGATTGATAAAACATATTTTACTCAGAAAATAAAGCATTCGAATAAAAAAAGTTTCTACAACACAATGTGATTTTGGTACCTCCCAGCAGCAGAGAAAACCTTCATGAGGTTTTGGTGGCAATGATCCTCAGGCAAATTTTCAGCGACAACTATGCGAGACTACAGATCAGAATGCACATTATATGATAAGAGGAAACAAGTATGTAGTTTTCATGAAACATCAACAATTATCAATTTAAGCAAGGATTTAAAATGAGTCTTACTACAGAAGTATAACCATAAAAATAAAATTTACCTGTTATACTTAAAATGAAACTTTTTAAAAGACCTATTCACAAATTTTTTGGCATAAAGGCACAAAATGACACAATAGACAAGGCACCAAACCAAAGCTTTTGTCCTGAAAACATGCAAATGGGACTGAATACAAGTAAAACATACTTGCAACTCTTCCATATCTGACTGAGTCAGGGGATGCTGGCGTCTAACTTTCTTTCCATCTTCATGAACTACCTGCAGAATATGACATCATTAAAGATTAAAAATATAGACTAAATGAAAAAAAGATACACAGGTGAGTCAAAAAAAAGTTCCATTTTTAGAGGGGAAACAAAAAACAAAAAGAGTCAACAAGAGGATTCCTTAAGGACAACAATAGCATATTAAGCACGAGCTCAAACATATAAACTCACAAGTTTTGAAGAGTTCCGCAATACAGTTGCAAGCTGAGATTGACTATTTACGAGGGCCTTAATCTTCTTGAAAGATGCAACAACAGATATTGGCACTATATCAGAATGAATATTAAATAGTTAATAACGATAAAAAAAATCAATAAAGGACTTCCAAAATAACAATTAGAATACAAAAATCGTATAAATTACTTAGTGTTTCAGCAGGCACACATGCCCGTCTTAGAGTAAGCTATTTTCCCTTTAACTTGAAGGTAAGGTGATCAAGTATATTATGGGCACACAGACAGTGAATCCAACTCTATGATACATATAAAACCATACGAAATTATAAAAGAAAATCAAAAGAAAAGTAAAAGAAAAAGATTGGTATGTGCTGCTTTCCTAATCAAAGATGGGAAAGGTAAAAGAAAAATAGCTTACCAAATCCTTCAGGGTCTTTGTTTATGAACCTCATAAGATGATCAGTAGTAGCCAAGTTTAGGTCACTGAAATAATACTCCACCTACAAAATGTTAGGCCAACAAAAAGAAATCAGGCCAAGTTCATGAAGTGATCTTCACAATTAATAACAATAGCTGGTGACTCGACTGCACATTTTCATTCTCAAATGTCTTTTTTTTGGATCAACTTGCATTATCTGAACCATAATGGACTAAATGAATGGTATTGCTTTGTTTAATACTTCCTTTTGATGAGGACTGACTTATTCAATTTCTAATGCATTTTATGTTATGTGATGATTTAGTCTATTTAAGCTTCTTATTTGAAGAGAAGCACAAGTCAACCTCATCACACTGATTCTATCTTGCCCACTAGGTCTGCCGGTGTTCTGACAACCACTATTCCAGAAGCTTTACCTAATGTTTCCTCTTTATCTATGTAAGAAACCTTCTCCTCAAGGTTTTGTATAGGTCCGTTGTTCCATCTTCTGCTCTTTCGGACACTTAGATCTTTAAAATCCCTTTTTTATCTGTTGTAGATCTTTACAAGTCTTGTTGCTCAGGTATGATCTAGGTTCTAATGGAGAATGAAGAGCTACCTGAAGAACCAAAGCACTGCTTAAGATGGTGTTCTTTGCTTGATCTTACACTTGGGGTAGAGAATTGTCACCTATGATAACTTTAGGAGGAGGATCATTTGACCACCTTCTACGGAGGTAAAGGAGCAGTAGATGTTTAGAGAATGCAGAGGAGGTTCCAATTTGAATTTGGGTAAACTTAATTAGTGTTTAATTTTTCTCAGGTCCTTTTGGAGACTTGAATTGTATGCATAGGAATACAGACACGCTGCTCTTCCTTCCAACTTATTGAATCTCAACTGCACCATTGGAATTTGGAATCGCTAATTATATCCGAAAAAAGATTAGGCACAATTCACAAGCACAATAAACTGCCAACCTATAGAATCAGAATGAGACACGTGTGTGTTTATGGTTCGAGGTGTTCAAAGATTAGGATCTGGAGTGATGGACCGAAATCCAAAAGAAGCTAATATTATCCGAAACGTGATTTGGTGAAGATTGAATATTTGGAAAAGACTAAAACAGCATAAGGCAGATTATGAGCTATGAAGAAAAAGGTAGTAAAAGAGAATAAAAAAAAGTAAACGCGAACCTGATTCAAAATCTTGGAAGTAGCTTCATCGGAAAGCTTGTGAGTCTTCGAGGAGGAGGAAGAAGCATGATCCACCTGAGCTTGC